TACGGAATCAGCTGAGGAATTCAAGTCTCGCTCCAAGCGCGGTGTTGATGGGTCGTTTGACGTGTCGCCCGGCAGGTTCCTTGATGCCGATCGTAAGCAAACAACGACCTGCGGACTCGGTCTTCATGGGCTCGGGTAAGCCCTGTTGCAAGCAGGAGGGTTCGCGACGGCCGTGCAGCATTCGAAGCTGGTTGAAATGGTCGTTGCGCTCGAGGAGGTCCCTTTTCAGGGCAAAGGTAGTCGAACGGTCAAGCTTTTAAGGGCAAGGATGATTATTGTGATCTTGATTGCCCGCGTGGTCTCACTGTCGTGGACCACCTGGAAAATCAGGTATCTCCCTGCTGAAGAAAGGCCCAGAGGATGCGTATCATGTTTTTGTGCCCCCGAGCTAGCACGGAACTGTTGCAAAGACGGGCGCAGATTTTGCGCACCACTTCAAGCATATGCTAAGGCCGCGGGCACATGCGCATTCGTTCTGCTTGTGGATCCCGTGAGCGCCCAGCTCGAGTGTTTAATCGGGGTGGGGAGTGATGTTCCACACGCCGAGTGGATTCTGGATAACATCGAACAGCACGGACACGCCTTTTCAGCAAATGGGGGTGCCTGAGAAACTCATCGGCCTTGCTGTTGCGCTTCACACGACGTCGTGGTTTCTGACTCATGGAGCTAGCTGCGTACACGAGAACGGGCGGACGGCAAGGCTGCAAATTGGGAGGGTGTGTGTTCAATTGTTGTTATGCTCTCCCGCTGAACCAGTTTGTGCAGGCGCTGCGCGAAGCCAGTACCACGACCAGGGTGAGGAGATGCGCCAACCCAGTGTGGGAGACCACGAATTGTCCGAGAGCGGACGGTGATGTGGAGGAGGAGGAGGAGGTGATTGATGTGGCTTTCGTAAGTGACCTTGGCATCGATATTTTCTTCGTCCTATGCATGTCATGTGGCGTACAATGAATGTCATAGTGCGTGCTCTCGTCGATAGTTTCACCAAGCGCTGGATGGTGATCAACTTCAAAAAGGGGAAAGCGGAAGGCATGCTCGTTCTGAGTGGGAAGGATGCGCGCATTGTGTTCCAGGCCCTGCAGAACGACAAGGGCCCAGTCTTGCCAATACCGGCTTCTGTTATTGTCGCGCATCTCGTTGGGGTGTACGCCCATATTGGCAGCGATGTCGAGGCGAAATGTGGCACATTCGCCGTTGACAAGAAGCGCAAGAGTAAGGTCTTGGATGCAGATGTATCATTATGTAGACACGTCGTCGGGTGGAGGGAACTTGACATGGTGGTGAAAAAAGGTTCGCTCCGTGCAAAAATTGTCTACTCCAGGCTGTTGTTCAACGTGCATTTGAAGTGTTACGGCGTGCGTCAACGGGAGGTTTTGAACGCCAGTTACATGCGTGTGCACAGACGAATCGTCGATGCTGTTCGGTTCGATGGGAGCGAGAGGTCAGACCTAACAATCCGGAGCGAGTTCGGCATTTCTTCGATCGATTGCGAGCTTGCGGATCGCCGGCCCAAGTACCTAGGAAGACTGGAGCGGTCGTCTTCGCACCCTTCGAAGGCCATGTTGTCGCTTAGAAACAAAGCTGGCTGGTCGGTGCTCCCTCGGGCACAGCAGGTTGGGAAGGACTTGAGGCTGCTGTACGAAAAGGTTGACCGCGTCAGGGTAATGCTACCTCCGCCAGACGCGTGCCTTGAGGCGTGGCAGACGTTTCTGCGCGACCACGCCGAGGAATGGGAGGCGATCGTGTCGCAGCCCTTTTTCGCAGTCTTTTCGTGCCAATCGACGCTCCAGGGAAGGTGCGCAACCACCAGTCGCATCGCACTCGTGCTCGCACTGCAGCGACAGAGCTTTTGGAAACAGGCAGGCACTGCAAACCCACATGCGTGCCAACCGCGGCGTGAGGAATATCATGCGTTTGTTTGCTGGCCGCGATTGCAAATGCCAGGCGTATCGCACCGTTTTCCCGACAAGACTCCGGCTGTTTCTTCACCTGAGTAGACAGGCCAACAATAATGGCGATTGGATGTAGACGAATTGTGCACTTCAGCATGGCGACGAAATTCTTGCGTTAGATGATATCGACGCATTTTCACGCCAGTCGGAGCACAAAGCCGGGCTAAAGCACCCCAAGCGCCTGGGGCCCGCTGTAAAAGGCCGACGGAAGACGTGTCGGCTGAGATTTCTTGTAACTTGTGAACCGTGAAGTGTTTTTGCTCATCCTTCAGCGTCGCACCGATCACAGCGCAGGCAAAAAGGAACAAAAGGAGGAGGAGGAGCAGGAGGAGGAGGAGGAGGAGGAGGAGGAGGAGGAGGAGGAGGAGGAGGAGAGGGGGGGGGGGGGGGGAGGGGAAGGAGGGAGGGAGGGAGAGAGGGAGGGAGGGAGGGATGGAAGGAGGAGGAGGAGAGGAGGAGGAGGAGGAGGAGGAGGAGGAGGAGGAGGAGGAGGAAAAGGAGGAGGAAAAGGAGGAGGGTGCAGGAGGAGGGGGTTGGACGAAGAAGAGGAGGAGAAGGAGGAGGAGGAGGAGGAGGAGGAGGAGAAGGAGGAGGTGGAGGAGGAGGAGGAGGATGAGGAGGAGGAGGAGGAGGAGGAGGAGGAGGCGGAACAGGAGGAGGCGGGCCCGGATTGGCACAGGAGGAGGCGCAGAAGGCGAGGAGGGGCCTGGCGACCACGACGACCGCCCCGCGGGCAGGCTGGACGGGGGCCCGTGGCCGGGCAGCCACTGCGGGTGAGAGGAGCGGCCGGGCTCGGGGGCAACGTCGGTCGGCGATCACAAAAGGGTACCCAGACCTCCTCGCGCTGGAAGGGATCACGACCACAGATTTTTGCTGTTTTCGGCCTCCCGGGGCATCCGTTGGGCCTCGGGACCGTCAGAACACGATTTGGGACGAGAAATCGGTCCCGGGGAAAGGGTCGAGACCTCTGGGGTCGACTTAATGAAAAAATCATTACGTCGGGGGCCTGGGATTACAAAAGGGTATGGTTACGCCGGGATGCGGTCTGCGATCGGCGCCGTTGTGGCCTGGGAGGCATGACGCTCCCTGAGATTCTTATTTTGCACGTTTTTCGAGCTGGGCGTTTTCGCTCCATTGCGGGCTTTGGGACCTTCACACATCGATCCAGCTCGAAACTTGATGCAGAAAGACCGGGTTTGGGCCTCCTGTCGTTTTTTTTCTTTCCGACGATGCAATTGTTGCTGCTATGTCGGATCTCAAAGGACGCTGTCCTCGTCGGGTCGGTCTCTTGGGGGTGCGGTGGATCGAGACCCCCGTTCGCCCCCCAGGGTGCCCCCCCAGGGCGCCAGCGGTTGCCAACCATACCCTCTGCAAATCACACCATTTGGAGTGCGGGGGCAGGCTCGGAGTGGTACGCTCGGCATGGGTACGGAAAGGATCCCAGGCGTGTTCGCGTTGCGGAAAATGTACACCTTAGGCGATGCTTAAGAAAACTTAAGCTTTCGGCCAGAGTCTCGATTATTCTTAATGTTTCAGTGTGAATCCTAAGATTTTGATAGAAACGTTGGGTTTTTATTCAAGTTCTGAGACTCTGAATTTCTTAACCCATGATTTCTTAAGCATTTCGCAGGGTGTATCCAGACGGATGTTGTGCGTAGGCTTCGTTCCCTGTGGGGGGCCCTGGCCGGCCCTCTCGGGACCACCAACACAAGAACTGCTCAGGATGAAAATAACCGGTCCCGGTGAAGGGGTCGGGAGATCCGGGGGCGCGTCCTGAAAACATCAAGCCATCGCATGTCCGGGGATTGGTGCGCAGATCGGCAGCAGCTCCCGTCCATTTGAACCGGACTCCCTGCTGGTGTCGCCGCTCGGGGCTCCAGAGACGGGGGTCCGTGCAGACGGGGGTCAGCCAGAGCGCTGGATCTTGCAGGATCCTGCAGAGCCAGGGGCGAGCTGACCCGGGCTCGGTGCAGGATCCTGCAGCAGGATCCTGCACCGCCTGCAGGATCTTGTGGGAGCTCTGCGGCGGCGCCCTGGGCCTGCCGCGCCCGCGCGGGTGTGTATGTGTGTGTGTGCGTGTGCGTGTGCGTGTGTGTGTGTGTGTGCGTGCGTGCGTGCGTGCGTGCGTGCGTGCGTGCGTGCGTGCGTGCGTGCGTGCGTGTGTGTGTGTGTGTGTGTGTGTCTGTGTGTCTGTGTGTCTGTGTGTCTGTGTGTGTGCGTGTGTGCGTGTGTGCGTGTGCGTGTGCGTGTGACCTAAATGCGCGGGAGGAGGAGGAGAAGGAGGAGGAGCAGGAGGAGGAGGAGGAGGAGGAGGTTGAGGAGGAGGACGGGGAGGAGGATGAGGATGAGGAGAATGATCTTGCTGGATCTTGCAGGATTCTACAAAGCCTGACTGCCCCGGGTCTGGATTGACCTGGGTCTGTATTGACCCGGGCCAGTCACATTTGAGACAGGAGGCCGCCTGGCCAACAGCGGCCACTGTTGGTATTGGACAACATGAGCTCTCTCCTTCTCCTCCTCCTCCTCCTCCACCTCCTCCTCCTCCTCCTCCTGCTCTCTCTGCTCCTCCTCCTCCTGCTCCTCCTCCTCCTCCTCCTGCTGCTCCTCCTCGTCCTCCTCTTCCTTTTTGACGTTGCACATGTATGGATCCAGGGTCCCGACTTTTGGCGAAAACGCCTGGCTCGAAAAAATTGAGACGCCAGTAGCCGTTGTAACCTTGTGCCCCGGATAATATATCATCCCCCCCTGCACCTCTGAGAGTTGATTCTCTCCATCCAAGACAGAGTTGGTCGGGGGAGGGGCGGCGAGGTCGAACTTAATTATCGCGGGGGGAAGTCGCGAATCGAAGTTGCTATCTTCTTCGTCGTCGTCGTCTTCGTGCGACGACGACGACGACGGCGACCTCTCCTCCTACTTCCTCGTCATACATCCCACGTGCGACTTGCCGGGACAGATCGTTTCTGACCCCCCCTGGACCCCGAATTTTCTTATCCGCCCCCCGGTGTCATTCTTAAGTCGGGCCTGTCCCTCTACAGGAGGAACATTCACACATAGTATAACACAACAAATGGGTTTCATTGTTCTGGCATGTTTACCATATTTCGGAGCATTGTTTGGGGTATTTTTTATGTTTCATCCACCATCCCCATGTGGGGGGACATGCCCGACTTGATTCTCGGGGGAGAGCACGGCCGGCCTGTCGGCAAGGTGCGGCCAGGTCCAGGCCTCGGGACGATCGACATCGGTACGGATGGAGGGTTTCTCCTAAGGGCTTAGGCGACCCGTCCTCCTCCTCCTCCTTCTCCTCCTCATCCTCCTCCTCCTCCTCCTCCATCTCCTCCTCCTCCTTCTCCTCCTCCTCCTCGTCCACCTCCTCCTCCTCCTCATCCTCCTCGTGTCGCCTACGGCCCCAGGGGAAACCTTGCAGGTACGGAGAACATGCGGGCAATACTTCTGTCCATACCCAGTGCAGGTTGGAGTTTCGGGCGCCCTTCCCCAGAAGCCCCAGGTCCACGGGATGTGGAACAAAATGTTGCGCCTCAGAGGCTCGGTTTCAATCCATATATCCAGAGCACCTCGACTACGTGGCGCCCCTTCAGGAAATTCCAAAACTCACTGGATGTGGATATAAGTCTTGCTCGCGAAACATGTGTACCACCCAGACATGCTCGCGTCGTGACACAATCAGGACAGGAGTTGTTTGGCCGTGTTCGGCCTCTGGGGGCCTGTACCAGGCCTCGGGACCATAAAGACACGACTCTGGATGAAAAATGGGTGCCGGGAAAAAGGTCGTGACTTCTGGGGACCGCGTACAGAAAAAGTCAGGACGTCGCATGCCTGGGCACACAGTCCAACAGCAGTTCTTGTTCATTCTGGCGGGCGTCGTCCATTCGAGACAGAAGGCCGCCTGCCCAAGAGCGGCGGCCATTGGTTTTGGACAACCTCTGCTGTTGGGCACTGTGCCCAAATTTCTCCGTACCCGTGTCGGGCGTCCAACATGTCGTGTGCGGGCTCCCCCCTTCATTTCAGCCGAAACCGATAGTAAGGTTATGATGTTCCAACCGACTTTAGCATTGACCACCAGAGCGGATTTAATCAACAAGGAAGTACCGAAACTCGAGGTCTTTCACGTGTCGTGCCCTTGGAGACACTCGTCCGACACTGTTTCGACACTGTTTCGACATTTTTCCAGGGGCCTGATATTATTTCGGGGATGCGGTCCTCAAGTACGATCGGAGCAACATAACAGTAATGTTAAGTCGGGCCTGTCCTCCTACAGGGGGATTTTCGATTTTTCTTTTTAAAAAAAACAAAATAGTCCAGACATACTCCCAAAATAGTATGGGGACTCTTTGTTTAGTATTTTTTGACCTTTTGGGGGTATGTTGGGGGTATTTGTAATGTTTCGTCGAAGAGCCCCCTGTAGGGGGACACGCCCGACATAACAGTAAGGACGATCGGCGCCCCAAGGGTTACGCCTGCATCCTCGCCTCGTCGGCCGCCTGCGGCCCCTCCTCGACCACCTTCGAGGGCCGGCCCCGCTCGAAGAGCCTCCTTTCGGGGGAGCGTAAGACCCGGGTTTGCCAGGACTCGGGTTCGCCATCGTTTTTTGACGACCGCGCCTCGGATTTTGACGAGGAGGAGTTTCGTGGGATGTCTGCAGCGGGAGGCCTCGTCAAAATGCAGGCTCGGCCTCGTCATTTTTTTGACGACCTCGTCGGGGATTTCCGAGTCCCCCGTACCTGGGTCTTACGTCTCCCCGATCCTTGGCACGAGCGTCCAGGGCCGTTTGCAGCCCTATCGGCAACCGGCTTTCTGCTCCGAGCATTGTTCTTGTTCGTTCGTGCCTCGAGCATTCCCGGGTTCTCCGAAAGTGCCGGAGGGGAAAAAAACACACACACACAGTGTCACAAGCAATCGGCGACTCCCTAGAGGAGATGGGAAATTATGGGAAGTGGAGGGGGAGGCGGAAGTCCAGACCACATGGGGAGGTATGGTGCATCTTAGAATGTGTGCTATTTGCTTGTGTGTCCCTGGACCCCATTGAATCATGCCGAGGTGGGCCTACAGTGGAAACCCATGCCAAGAAACATCCAGCTTGCCTCCAGGGTGCCCTGGGCGTCTTGGGGTTCGACGGTGTCGCTATGGAAAGTCTGGCGTTCCCACACCGAAAATCCATGAACGTCCTGGGGTCTCAGGGTTGGGTTTCCTGTGGGATGTTTCTCGTGGTCGAGGTCCCACTGTAGGGAGGAGGAGGAGGAGGAGGAGGAGGAGGAGGAGGAGGAGGAGGAGGAGGAGGAGAAGGGCGAGTTGGAGGAGGAGGAGGAGGAGGAGGAGGAGGAGGAGGAGGAGGAGGAGCAGGAGGGCGAGTTGGAGGAGGAGGAGGAGGAGGAGGAGGAGGAGGAGGAGGAGGGGGAGTTTCTTGTCGATTTGGGCCAGCCCCTCCTGCATGGGAATGCCGGGACGGCCGCCCCCCGCCCACCTCCGCGGTGCGGAGGGAGGGGAGCAGGGGCGCGCGCCCCGCCGCGGCCCGTGCGCGCCTCGAGAAGAGCCCCACCGCGGCCCTCGCCGCCGCCGCCGTCCTCTCCGTCGCCGTGCCCGTCGTCGTCGCCTTCGTCGTCGCCGCCGCCGCCGCCGCCGTCGTCTTCGTCGTCGTCGTCGCCGCCGTCGTCGTCTTCGTCGTCGGCGCCGTCGTCGGTGTCGGTGTCGCTGTCGTCGTCGCCGCGGCCCTTCGTCGCCGTCGTCGCCCCCGTCCTCGTCATCGTCGTCCTCGTGCCTTTCGTCGTGTCTGTCGTCGTCGCCCTCGTCCTCCTCCTCCTCGTCGTCGTCGTCGTCGTCGTCGTCGTCGTCGTTTCGGCGCTTTCTGGGGACGCTCCTGGAGTTCCCGGGGCCTCCGTGCAGCCATTCCCCGGGGGCAGGAGGCCTCCAGGCTCGGCCCCGCTGCCGCCGCCGCCGCCGCCTGCGTCGCCCTGCCTCCCGCTCGCCGCCTGGCCCGCCGCTGCCTCCCGCTTCCCGCGTCTCGCCTCCCCGAGCGAAGGGATGAGCACGACGACGACGCTGAGTAGGCCCTGGAAACGACAGGGCCGTCTTTTTTTACCGGTTCATTTTTTCCGTTTTTTTGCCGGTTCCGACGCCATTTTTTTACCGGTTCCGTCGCCGTTTTTTGACCGGTTCCGGCTCCGGTTCCGATCCTGGAGCCGTTATTTTGCTGTTTCCGGTCGCCGTTTTTGTTGCCGTTTTCATTTTCAAGGGACATTTTTGCGGAAACGGTGAAAAAACGGCCCTGCCGTTTCCGGGGCCCACAAAGCGACGACGACGACGACCTGGTGGACGAGTCGGTCCCAGACCCCCTCGGGCCATGAGCAAGTCATTGCGGACGGTTCTTCGCAGTTTTCGGCCTCCAGGGGCCCGTACCGGGCCTCGGGGCCGTCAGCAGAGATTCTCAGGATGAGAAGCCGGCCCCGGGGAAGGGGTCGAGACCTCCGGGGGTCGCCGTTCTGAACAATCCATTACGTCGGGCTCTGGGGATCTGCATCTGAGTCTGACTCAACCGGGCCCTCCCCCACAAGCTGGGGCCCACCGACACAGCATCATCCGGGGAGTACAGTCGGCCCAGATCAGTAGGTGGACCCTGCAGGGCACCCTTGTGTCCTGTGTCTCGCGACCCGTGGCCTCTCGCGTGCCCTGCGTGCCTCCGGCATCCCTGTGGCGATGTTGCCCTCGGAAGTCAGAGCGTGAATTACTTACCCCGCTTTCGCTTCCAGGCAACACCAAGTCATACCACGCGCCTCCTCATCAAGCGGCCTGACCAGTACAGGCCGTAGTTTGGCATCGCTTGGTATCTCTTGGAAGCGAGGGTGGTCAAAAGCGAGGTAGGTTTGTTTGTCCCCTAGGAAGGGTCGTGTGTCCTCTCGCGTGTCCTGTCCAGTCAAGGCCGACTGTAGTATGCCGCTCTTCGGCGGTGTATATGCTCCGAGACGGCCTAGGCGGCAAGCGGAGGCCCGCGCTCGTGGGGTCCTGTGGGAGACAGGGGTCTGAAAGGAGCTGGGCCCCACCTGCTCCTCCTCCTCCTCCTCCTCCTCCTCCTCCTCCTCCTCCTCCTCCTCCTCTTCCTCCTCCTCTCCCTCCTCCCTCCTCATCCTCCTCCTCCCTCCTCCTCCTCCTCCTCCTCCTCCCTCCCTCCCCTCCTCCTCCTCCTCCTCCTCCTCCTCCTCCTCCCTCCTCCTCCTCCTCCTCCTCCTCCTCCTCTTGATGCCTCACCTCCTCCCTCCTCCTCCTCCTTCTCCTCCTCCTCCTCCCCTCTTCCTCCTCCTCCTCTTGATGCCTCACTCCTCCTCCTCCTCCTCCTCCTCCTCCTCTTCTTTCTCCTCCTCCTGCTCCTCCCTCCTCCTCCTCCTCCTCCACCTCCTCCTCCTCCTCCCTCCTCCTCCTCCTCCTCCTCCTCCTCCTCCTCCTCCTCCTCCTCCTCCTCCTCCCCCCTCCTCCTCTCTTCTCCCGCTCGAGGCGGATGGAGAACGCGGCGGCGGGGGGCGAGAACGAGGATGGCAGGGGCAAGGAGACGAGGACGAGGACGCAGACGCGACGAGGAGCACGTCGAGTGGCGCGCGGGGAGGGCAGCCGGGCGAGTGCGGGGTGGGTGAAGCCAGGCGTGCGCGCGGCGGGCTCGGGGGCTAAGGGCCCAACGCGAGCGCCCCGGCTGAGTCGCGGCAGAGGGTTTCCGGGGGCCTTGAGACGAGGGTCAATGCAAACAGGGGCTCCTCCTCCTCCTCCTCGTCCTCCTCCTCCTCCTCGTCCTCCTGATCCTCCTCCTCCTCCTCCTCCTCCTCCTCCTCCTCCTCCTCCTCCTCCTCCTCTCAGTCAGAGCGCCAGATCTTGCAGGATCCTGCAGAGCCAGGGTTGCACTGACCAGGGCTAGGGCCGTCCTGCGGCGGGAGAGCAGGCGCTGGGGATGGGGGCACGTGCGGGGGAGAGGGCCTAGGGCCTCCGGGAAGCTTCGGGGCGACGAGGAGCAGTGGCGACGTCGGGGGGTCTCGGGATGGACGCGCGTCGGCCGCACGAGGGGGACGCGCGTGCTCTCGGAAGCCTTCGGGGATCAGCCCCGTGCGGCGGGCGCGTTCTGGGCCCGCCGCTCGGGCAGCGAGCTGCTGCGGGGTGCTGTGCTGCGCGTGCGGGCCGGTCGTGAGGAGAGGCGCGCAGCAGCGATGCGACTACAGTCGGGGCCCTGAAGAAGGAACCCGTTTGGTTGGGGAGGGGCTCCGTGTTCCTTAATTGTTTCGCAGCTTGCCTCAGGTTTTCCTTATGTTTTCGATGGGGAATCGAAGTTTAACTTCTCGAGAATAGGGGCCTCGTTCTTCATTTATCGTTCCTTAGGTCAACGCCCCGACTCTACACGCAAAAGAGTGGCCCTTCGCCGGAGCGACCTCGGGAGCGGGCCCACAAATGGGTCCCCCGATGGCCGAGCGCGATGCGACGGCAGCGTTTCACGCGCCTGTGTCTGGTCCCCCCGCGGCGCCCCAGAGGCCGCGCACCAGAGGTCACTCTTGCCCATGGGTCACTCTTGCATCGCAGCCGATTGATCTGTCCTTGTACGTGCCATTTCTCGCCGCTCGAGGCGGGCTGAAGCAGGCATCCAGGAGCAGGCCAACAACTGCGAGGCGCTGGCGGAGGCCGCGGCGGCCGCGAGAGCGAGGGGCATCCCGCGGCTGCAGCGCGCCAGTGGTCGGAGCTTCGGCGGAGGGGGAGGCGGAGGCGGAGGCAGCAGGGGGTGCCAGCTCAGCAGCGCCAGCAGGAGGGGGGGGAGTGGCGAGGGAGGGAGAGGAGAGGGATGGGGCAAACGAGGAGGAAGAGGAGAAGAAGTATGAGGGATGCCGGCGGGTTGCCCTGCAGGGGCTCCCGAGTTGCAGGTGCCAATGGTCGCGACTGGTTTCTGCTGATCCTCTGGGCCCCCTGATTTGACTTCCGAGCCCAACATGGCCGTGCCCTGGGAGGCGCGGCTCCCGCCCGCTCCCAGTGATCCCTGAGAGCCGCACACGTGGTAGCCTCGCTGACATCCGATTGGCCGTGCGGCAGTGCGCAGCACGAGGGGGAGGAGGAGGAGGAGGAGGAGGAGGAGGAGGAGGAGGAGGAGGAGGAGGAGGAGGAGGAGGAGGAGGAGGCCCCCCGCGCCAGTCCCCCCCGTTGCTTGTTTGCCCCCCCCCCCCCCCCCTCCGCCTGGGCTGCCGCCGCCCCCTGCTGCGGCCGCCCGGTTCGCCTCGGAGGTTCCCGCCCCCGCGCGGCCCGCCCCGGTTCGCCCTGGCGCGCGCGGCCCCCCATGCCCAGGCGCTGGCGGGGGAGCAGGAGAGGATACGGGACCTCGAGGTGGTGAGCACCAGGGGCGTGGTGGACCTCCAGGATCGGCTGCCCTGGCGGGCAACAGGGGCGGCGGCGAGGGAGGGCCTCGTCGCAGGAGGCTCGGAAGGCCCCCCTTGGCCTGCTGAGAAGTGCTCCGAGCCTCTCCCGATGGCGCAGGGCACCTTGCAGAAGGCGCGAGGGCTTCTGAGAAGCCCCGCCGCCTTCTGAGAGGGCCTTCCTCTTCGCACGTCCCCCCCCTCGCTCGCCGCCGAGAGGAGGAGGAGGAGGAGGAGAGGAGGAGGAGGAGCTGAGGAGGAGGAGGAGGAGGAGTAGGAGGAGGAGGAGGAGGAGGATGAGGAGGAGGAGGACGGATAGGAGTGAGGAGGAGGAGGAGGAGGAGAGGAGGAGGAGGAGGAGGAGAGGAGGACGAGGAGGAGGGGAGGAGGAGGAGGAGGATGATGAGGAAGAGGGGGAGGGGGAGGAGGGGGAGGAGTGGGAGTAGGGGTGAGGGGAGAGGGAGGGAGGATAGCGTAGGTCCGGTAGGTAGTAGGAGGAGGATTAGGTAGGAGGCTGAGGAGGCGGAGGAGGAGGGCTGTGGCTGGAGGAGGCAGGAAGGAGGGGGAGGAGGAGACGGAGGCGAGGCGGCGGCGGGAGGCGGAGGAGGCGGAGGAGGCGGAGGAGGCGGAGGAGGAGGAGGAGGAGGAGGAGGAGGAGGAGGAGGAGCAGGAGTGCCGACCTCCATTGCTTCGAGACTTGCCTGGCTGCCCTTCCTGGCGCTTACGTGCGTGATCACGTTGCTCGAGTCACAGTTGCTGCTCGGCCAAAACGCGGTAGGCAGTCTCACCCAATCGCTACGGTCTACAATCATGGGCTTGGCAATGTTGAGGAGATTGAGGAGGCGGAGGAGGAGCAGGAGGAGGATGAGGAGGAGGAACACGCGGAGGCAGAGGAGGAGGAGAAGGAGGAGGAGGAGGAGGCGTCTCGTTCTCCGTCTGTCTGATACTGTTCTGTGCTGCCTGGCATTGGGTTCGGGCGACTTCGCCGTCCCGAGCTCCCACACCAGGCCCTTGCCTTTGTTTGACGCTGCATCCTTGTAAAAGAACGTTGAGCTTGCATCCTTGTAAAAAGAACGTGAACCTCTCTGGCTTGCCGATGCCGCAACCCTTAGTACATAGCACCTGGGATTCGCGCCGCGAAGGCTACCTTTCTGGCCTGGCG